TGGACATTACATGTTGGTAATGCTCGTGAACCTTCCGCACTCTTTCTTCTCTGATAATCTGTTGCGACGAAATGAATAGGTTTGGGTTACTTATCCATGCTCACATCTACTGGTGGAATCGATTGTCACTTGTAAATGTGAACTAAGGATTGTTAGGTGTACCGTCGTGTATGTTCATTCTTGCCTATAGACACGTCTACACCTGTCTCTGCAACCAAAGCGGAAATCAGTTTATGCTGCTTTGCAAGTTCTGAAAGTCTAGTTCGATCCTACGGAAAGGGATTCCTACACCATGCAAGCCATCAGAACTATTGTGGCGCAGATGGCACGCCTTTCAGCCATTGTGAATCGGAGAACTCACTCTGACTCGTTCTTCGCTGCGGCGATACCTTTCCTCCAAGTCAACTGTTTTGACTGGAAAAACACTTAGACGACGAGCGAGATCGGCGGGAATTCCGCGTCGTGGTTCAACTTCACCGACAAAAAAGGTCAAACTTTGTAGGATTCCCGTGGTTGGACTCCTGCTAGCCACAAAGGAGTTTGCCCTACTGCTATCTCCGGAGGCCTCGGTGATAGTGAACGTGCCCATTTCTTCTCTTTTGGTGCGGATCCTCACACTCTACACCAACGAATCCGAGGTGCCCCTATTGATTGGCCTAGTTTGAATGGCACGTGCTCCAAATGATCTCACTGCAGTTAAACCTGGTGCCTCCGCTGTGGTGAAAGATTAAGTGTTCCGACCTTCATACGACATAAAATCCCAGAATTTTCCTTTATTACGCAAAGCTAGGTATCTGGTCGAACACCGAGTTGGATGCTCGTGTCACTTGAGGTGAAAACAGGGTAATATTTGGCAGCAGCGTTTATTAAAAAGGTCTTATATAAATAATGTGGAGGTCAGTGGAAGAGAATATCAGGGGTTAAAAGAATCGTTTCCAATTATTTGATTCACACTAAAAAATGAAGAAGAATTGTTAAACATAAACGCCGAGGCAATTACCTCTATTTGGATCTGGAACTGACTAAGTCGAGTGTCAGGCCAGAGTGAATAAAGCTGTTTAGTAAGTTAGATTGAAGTAGGCTTATTTCTTCATTTCTCGGGAAGCGACCCCGTAAATGCCTCAAGTTTTCAGGTGCAGAAAACGTGTACGAAGCTATAAACGAACTTGACCTACCGACGGAGAGTGATTCGCAAACCGAGCATTTACAAATGGACTGTTGGGTAGGTCTAGGGCAAGCTTTCGGAGGCGGCTAATGGGAAGAATGTGGCCCTGTGTTGTGAAAAGATAGTCCTCCTCATGCACGTTTAATGGGTGAGATTCGTCGAAGAGCTTAAGATTATAAAAAAATGAGTGGCGTCCGACGCGAGGCCTGCCTTAGAATAGGAATGGGTTATTACTAGGATGGACGGGATCCATTTCAAGTTAGGAAGAAACCAGCACTTGCCATAAGTTAAGCGATTAAACAGTGCAAAAACTGCCTAGCACCTTTAGACTACAGTAGCACTGATTCATCCAGCATTTCTACCGCGATCGTGTCACAGAGAGCGAGGGACACCTTATTAGAGGAAAAAAACAAAACCGGAACTCGGGATCCTATTGTTGAGTTAAGTGGAAATAGCCAAACGGAGTAAAAGACGCCTCGCTCAATAGTTGTGCTGACGTTTGGTAGTATAATCCGAAACAGAGGAAGTTTGCGCGACCAGAATGGCGAACTGATCTACCAGGATTTCAGTTTGTCATTTAAGAATTGAAGCGATGAGCCTATACATATGTGATTACCTGACCCCAACGTAGTGAATGCAAAGATGTAGAAACAGTAACACTTAGACCAAGGAACACGCACGAGATACAAGTACTTTAGTGTTTCACTCAAGAAAAAGCTTTCCATGCGGTCTTCCTGAGTCATATCTTCAACGTCATGAATTGTTGCGAATCCACACCTAAATGTATGGTAGAAATAATGTGAATTAGCAGGTAATTTGGAAAATCAGGGCTCTCAACCATTCCTTTGTTTGGTTCACAAATTTTTCAAGAAGCTCTAAATAAAAAAATCTAGTTACCACTCCAAAAATGATGGTTAATTAGCTTTTATGGCGTGCTTTGACCGTTGCATGCATAAAGTAGCTGCTCAATGGGACCAAAAGATTGCGGTTCGAACGCTATTGCATTGACTCTATGAGAATTAAAAATGCTTAGAACAGGAGTCAGAATGAAGCTGAACGAACAGAGCAGCTTACTTTGCACGAGTGTAACGATCCAAATTACTGATTATCATGGACCCAATTCGAAGGTAAAGGGGATTCTTAGTTGCTCGATAGAGGTAGTATGTAGATTCAGCGAATTCTGGACGGAGAGGGTAGAAGGAAAGTTCCGATCTGTTTAGGACGAGGTTAAAGCGCTCGGGAGGTAGACCAAAATGCTGCCAAATCGATAAATGAAGCTCATGTTGACGTTTGGCGTCCCGAAGTTCTCCAGCCAGCGTCTGCAGTGAAAATATTGTTAACTATTGTCATCATATGCAATTTATAATTTCACATTGATAATCACTGAATTGTGAAGGGAAAAAAGCACATAGTGATAGCATATTTAGCATGAAATGAAAAATAAGCCAAATGTGTAGGAGAAAAAAATGGTTTAGAGACAGAATCAAGTAATTACAGCAGCTTTTAGCAAAGGAGTGTTGATACGAATATTATTAGCAGATAAAAAAGTAAATAATAATAATAATGTCAAAAAATTATTGCTAAGGTGAAGCAAGCCACTGCGCACAAGTATTCCAGGCCAGACGGATTGCAACGTATCAACCCAGGTGTTGATTACTTCCCCTGTGAACATATCAATATTCCAGTAGACCGAAGGGTACCCTTCAGGGCACGCGCAGCGATGCACAGGTGAAGCTTCACACAACCCATATCGCAAATTCCTCAGAGATTCCTCGAACATTTTAATTAGTTCGGAGTCGTCAAAAAGAATTCCGGCCTAAGAAATGAAATCGTAGTTTATCCAGTGGTAGGGTGCCGTGAAGAGGTGTATGAGGAAACTCCAGATCACCTATGCCAATCATATTAGCCTGTTGTGTCAAAATCAATGATCTGATGATGATAACATCCCACGAAATTTGATCAAATGAAAGCTGAATTCAATTTAGAGAAGTATACAAATAAAGGCAGTGACGATGGAATGTACGAATCGTTATTCTGGAAAAGTTGAACCATTCGATTTTAACTAGGCCGAAAACATGAAAAGGGGCATGGAAACGAAGTAATTTATTGAACGCAAGTGTTCTGACCAAAGTGCAGACTGTAAGTGCCACTACTGACCTTCAATAGATATTCATAGAAAGAGTCTTGGCCCGCACCTACGCCCGACATTGAATTTATCCACTCACCCGTGTAGATGTTGATGTCAGTGCCTGAAAGTTAGGTGAAATGCTTGGGGGCATAGTTGATCATTCATAAATAGAAAAGGAACGTTTAGAATGTGGTATTTACCGGTCACGATCGAGGTAAAAGTATGAAAAAAACAAGTTTTACATAAGTTAGAAAGGAAAACAAATGAGCGTTCCACTTTATTGTAAATGCTAAGGACATACATACAAAACATTAACATAAAAAATGCTCTGGGGATATTAAAAAGCACGCCAATTTTCGATATGGTTAACATGAATACGCAAATAAAAGGACGATTTGACAGATACGCAGTGAACTACTCAACACTTGCGCAACAGATTATTAGGTAACAAAAAGCCTAGTAAATTGAGAAACTAGATGAAAGCAAATTGCCAAGTTCATTGTCAGCTTCACTTGCGACTGAAAACCTGTTTTTCTTTTAAAACATCGGTTAACGCACCGAGCAGACCCGTTTTGCGTGAGCGATAGTTCCACAGTCTACGAACAGTATTGCGCGCCAGAGTGGCATAACGTGAGTCTTGCAGGAGCAGACTAAGTGTTCCCATTTCCAAAAGAAGCGTTCCAGCTCCAGCAAGGCAGGTATCCACCCTGCCCAGCGTCTCAACTGACCGCCAGCCTAAATGTATCCTAGGAAAAGGAATACCAGTAGGTGTTCCCTTTTGGAGAAAATGCAAGTAAATAAGCTGTGAATGGCACTTTTAATCATATTAAATGACGAATTCACTCACAAAAAGACAGTCTAATTCTTATTGACTATCACATTATATGACGCATGAATCCAGAATCAAATCCAAAAATGGAAGATCACGATCTACTTTAATTAAATACAAATGACCGACTTACTTTGAATGCTATTAAAAGCCTGTCACACAGATTTTGGGCAAGTCTGAGTAATTCGTCATTGTAGTTATCAGGCCGCAGATCACCAAATCGCCCATGGGGATCAGTAATTAGTAGATGAGCAGATAACAGTCCTCCCAGTATCCTTAACGGTGAAAGGGTCACAATTAATTACTGCAAACCTTATATTAGCCTCAAACACTTGCACCACAGATTGCTTATTGAAAGACATTGTAGCTGCAACCAACTTAACAGCCCGTTTGAATTCTGTTGTATTACCAAACACCTAGATTAATTCAGTCAGGAGGTTTAAAAATACCAACAGCAAGAGAATCGAGGGAATCAACTAAGGTAAGTTGGTAATCACCCAGCGCGTCATTGACATTGATGTTATTTCGATCACTGAGGTCCGGTCCTCTGCCGCAGCAGTGAATTGGATCAAGCTCATCTTCAGGATATGCAAATTTCATGTAATTCGTATACCCAAAATCAAACATCTCCCGGATTTTCAAAAGCATTTTTTCGGACTCAATGGAGGGGATGACCGTACTTGATTGTTGCATACCTCTGACTAATTGCAAAAATATCAAGAAGAATGAAGACAGCATAGCGAAGGTCTAAATGAGTAAAAGCAAAACGCTAAAGTGGAGTAAAGTACAAGGGGAAATGAAGGCTTGTTAGTATAAATTGTAAAATACTCTTCCAAATCAATTAAAAAATTACAAGTGATAAAGACACATACAACGGACTGAGGTACATCATTGGGCAGTTACTAAAAACACTAGTAAATAACTTCACAAAGTCATTTGTGTCGTGGAAAAATATCAACATCCATACCAAATCCTACTTGGGATGAAAAAGTATGCTAGAGGTAATGTTCGTGCTTCAGTATGAATCGAGTCATAACTAAATTAAAGATCTATAAACTTGTCAAATCATAGTCAACAGAACCAGAGAGGGACTGCCTCTGAATCAAGGTAACAGCCGTCTATCAACCACTGAATAGCAAGGAGTCTTAACTGATATCGTCTTGCAAATAAAAAGTATGCCTATTCGAGGTTTACTCAGGACCTTGAACACTGATTCCATCAGTTGCATAAAGAACAAACGCGACGCACTTGGTATGATTTAGCGCATAACGACAGAGCCATAAACATTCAGCCTCCTACTATATTAGTAATTAGAATAGTTCAGCACATCTACTAAGTCACTACGGTCATGAGCGCCGTAACTCCTGGTTTACTTTCTAAAATGCTAGTCAAGGTGATCTAAATTTTGACACTATTTTCTTCACACAATCACACAAAATCAATGAAAGATAACTTCGAACGTATGCAAGTTAAGCACGCCAATCAGAACTTTCCACTTTAGGGCACACAAATTATAACAAATCTTGGCAAATTTTGCAATCTAAGCTTTAAATGCTAAAAAACGACTAAATATAATCATAGCAGAATTTTTATGCCAGGACAGTCAAAATAATTATATAACTTTAATAGTATAATATGTAACGTTTTGCTTATGTGACCACCTGACGTTTGGCAGACTCTAGGACTTGTCTTGTCCTCATTCGCGCGCTGGCCTTCGGACCATGCTCAGACTCATGTGTTGTTCTCTTTGGAATGCATGAATCTAGCTCACCTACTACCTTCTCCCACCCAGCGGAAGTCTACACAGCGCTTTTTAATTATCAATGATCTTTGACTATTTGTACGTGTAGTAACTGCCTGTCTACCCTCTGGTCCCTGGTTCTCAGACTTTAAGGGGAAGTTGGTCGTAGACGATTTATTAGGCATCTCTATAAGAAGGATAGGGGAATAAGATACAGATGTGATGAACAGGAGGTGTCAATCGCAGGGAGACTCCTCGTCGACCTCGCGCACGTGATCCACGCTTCCAATTTGTTTCCGCCTCTCGCCTATAAAAGTCCACTTAAACAACTAGAATATATTACAGTACGAACCTCGGTCTCACTGAAAGGCATCCTACTTGCATGAAGTGACTTTTAGGTCAGCCATCACAACATATTCGATACTACATGAAAGCACACGTGAACCAACCGCGCCAGTCAACAGGTCAGCGTCAACAGGATCTAAGGTTACGTCCGGTCTAACAACCAAATTCGGGGCCGCATACATCTGTCATGCATCAATTGCTTCCGGAACTAGAAAGTGGGACTCTAGTCTAAAGCAGATATGCTATAGTAAAAAGGAACATACCACTGTCCCGTATATAAGGAGAACCTTAGTGTCATTTCCGACACTTATAAATGGATTTTGTATTGGAAATTCCGACAAGAAACTTTTCCAGATGGTCACAGCGACACCGCTTAAGTTGCTAATAGCTTGCTTGTAGAAGTCAGTCTCAGCCTTTTGTTTGCGAGGGATTCAATGATTCTCCGTCACCAATGTAAATGGCCCTCCTCCACACCGTATGCACATGCAACGAAGTGTACGTGCTAGGATAAAAGTCGTTAAAAATTTCGGATTTGCTTTCCACTGCCACCAGTGTAGCGTTTTAAGACTACCCACGGGGCGGAAGATATAGCGTCCCGAAGCTTCCCATAGGGTGGAAGAAGGCATGAGTGAGGTTGAATACATGTATTCCGAAGACGACAGGGTAAATGGGGCCTGAGCGTGGCCCGAAGGTCAATGCACGTGTACAGGGGCCAGACAAAATCTAAAGTGACCGCCAAATGTCCTATGGTCACATAAACAAATCATTACAGAAGGTGGTAAGTGAAGCTGGATTCATGCATTCCAAAGAGAACGAAGCGACTGGGTCGGAGCATGGCCCGAAGGCCAGCCCACCCGTACAAGGGCGATACATATCTTAAAGTGACCGGTAAACGTCATATGGACACCTAAATGAAGCCTTAAAAGCAGCGACATTTCAACACCTAGACACGGATGCAGTAAGGGAAATTTCGACACGATAATTTTTCACTTCACTTTTGGATAGCTTGTCTGTGAGGACATCAGGTTACCAAATAAACAAAGTATTCCAAGTTTTTTCAAGCTAACCCTCCGGATTCAGAGGTGAGTGGACAATTCATACCATTGGAAATGATATAGGCGACATCAGAGTGAGGGTTTCAATGGGGCTATCTCGATTTGAGTCCGATTTCAGATTGCAAACAGTTGCAAGAACGTCACCTCTGACATGAATGGGCCAAAAGATGCTGTCGTTAATTTTCGCCTCCTGTGACAGATTTCTAAGGCAATACCTGCTCGATTCAATGGATTTGTAAATATGAATAGGTCATTTCCTTCCCTAAACTCGAAGCTTTTGCAAACTCAACGCGAATTTTGAAATGACACGCGATCAAACTAAGAAAAATTTTAGTATGTTGCATTCCCAGATTGTATGTGATTTCTGGTCCTTAACCAGTAGCTCTAATGAAAATAGTCGAATTTACGAAAAAAATAGTACCGTATATTTTAAAGCGAGCAAATTAGAGGAAGTTCTATGCTACAGGGTCATTAAAAAATCGCCTCTTTCCACCTCCAAGGGTCATAGACTCTTGTCTCCCAGCAATATTCGTTCCATGGTGCGCCCTTCGACGAATGCGGCTGGATAAAGGTTGACGACTTGTCACCACTACTGATGGCAGGAAAGATTCCATACTTCCCTCCCACGTCCCTCGTGCCACTTTTTCCAGACTACCATTGGTTGAAGTCGTGTTAGTAGGAGGTTTTTCGGGATGGATTTGCTGCATCCACCAAGACTTCACATCCTGGCAAGAATTTTGAACGTTCTGAGTGAGAACAATTAGTCCAGAGTGTTCGTCCGTCAAGTTCTTCATTGCAGATCGCTTTTCACAACTTGGCGAATTTGGAATTCCTTCACTCTGTCCAGACTTTTCTACAACCTCACCGGCGTGCTCCGATAGGGAACTAGCACCTGAATCAAGAAGCTGCTTATCTGCAATAGGAATCGAGAGGCTGGGTGATGTAGTATTTAAATCAGTTAGTTCGATGGACGAATTTTTTATTTGACCTGTACCCGCCTCTTGAATGGCTGGCATCCCGGTACCGGTGAATAATGAAAGTCGCGCAACTTGATCCGAATCTTCGACCACACCAGAAAAGAGCGAAGTGTGGGTTTTTGAGGCACGCATGCTTCGACGACGGAAAAAGTTCCCCCCGGAACCAGTAAGTCGAAATCCCTTGTGAAGCTCCGTGTCAGGCAAATTTGCATTTGTTATGTTCGGTAATGCCTGTTTGGATTTCGTGCATGAATCTACAAAAGTCAATGAAGGAGAGGCGGGCGGAGGCAGGTGGCTGCTTCCTGTTGCCTTGTTGCCAATACTATTGGACAGCAAACCATCTGGGATGTGTGCATCAGATTTCAGAGTCTTAGAGTCCACACGACCGTTCACGCGCCCTCGCGATTCGCAAGTGTCCTGGAAGCCCGCCATTCGTGCAACCGCAGTATCAGTAGCTCGAATGGTGGTCGCGACAGGTGAGAGGATCGGTTGCGGCGTTGGTGTTGTAGGGGGGCTCTGGTTGGTGGATGAGGCCGATGGCGGATTGTCAACGCTCTCCATCCGAGCATTGAGTTCGTCACGGCTAAATTTAATTTTTGATGTACGTGTTCGAAGAGAAGATTTGGCAAAGTCACCTTTGTTTGCAGTAGCGGAGGACTCCTTATTTGCATCTTCAAAAGACTGACCACTGGTTGGACGGTCTGATGTAGAATGCATGGAAAAATGGAGATGACCGTGCTTCTAAAAAAAATTTCTTTCAGTAACCAGAAGTCGAACTTTTATTCACTTCATCAGTTCATGTTTGCAAAATCAAAATTTGATTAACGAATTGCCAAGACCGCGGTAATCGTCAACTAATGGACCAGAGATGTTTTCATACAATAGATGAAAATGTTGTGCGGCTAGTTTAGAAGATTTAGCAACGTCATGTCTGGAAAATTAATTGTCCCGCAAACGAATTACCTGACGCTTTCTGAAGATGCATCGTTCAATCCATGTGGCAATGGTTTGTCTTGCAACTTCTTCCTCAATAGCATACTCTAGGTCCTCTCGCGCAATCAGTTCCTCCAATTGTAGGGTCTTGGTAATGTCCACCGTCCGGTAGGCGAGAACCCTTGAGGATACGGAAATGGGAATTTGCTAGAATCTCAAAGAGAATCAAAACCGTTGCTTTTGGCTACACTTTAGCAGTGAACAATTGGTCAAGGGTGCATTAAGGTTTCTAATCAACCATTTCAGACTTACATTAAGACATCGTGGAAACTAACTTCTTTATCACGACCGCCACGCAAAGTTTCGACCTCATAGCACATTTCCTTGAAGAGTTGCTTGTCACGCTTTTTAGATAGGTCAAAGCCAACTCTTTCACGAGGGATGAGACGAAGAAGGAAGCGAACGTAATAAGCTTTTACCATTCCCTAAACACATGGGAAAGGATAGGTAAATCTAGTGTGACCAAAAATGAGGCGCATGAACAGGGAAGCGCCAAATCACCTTTCGATTAACATCAATAATATTCCACGCTTGCTGGAAGTTACGTATGTCGTTGTAACTCATTATGGCGTCCTCGTCATTAGAATAGAAGAGCGAGAAGTTCTCCATGATAATGGCTGAAAATAAGGATGTAAACGATGGTAATAAGTGCAAAATTTGTTGTATTAATGGAAACAATGATCAATGTGAGGATGACTGGATCAAAGAAACACATACCAACAAGAACATTCAGCATAACATAGGTAATAATAACGTAGAATGAGCAAAAGTAAGCGAGAGATGCCTGCGCATTGCCACAATTAGTTTCCCAAAATGTTTCCTTCACAATGCAGAAGGGTGGTTGAATCATACAGTCATGCATAATTTTATTCCAGTCTTCTCCTAAAGCAAAAAAAGCGGCTTTACAGTTCACCCAGAGATAAGGGATAGAACAAAAGAGAACAGAACGAACCCGTAACTATCCGAGAGAGTAAGATGATTGCTCTAAAGGCGTTGTGAAAGTTGGCATGACGACCGAGGTTATCACCGAATCTTACGGAACCAAAAAGCACGACTCCCATCAGGCCATAGACTAGCATCAGTACGACCATACTTGTCAAAATGAAGAGTGATTTGTAGATGGACATCGTAACGGTGAGCATAAGCATTTTTAAGGTGACCTGTGGTAAAGCACAACAGTAGGTTGTGGAGCTTTTACTCTTAAAGCACTGGAAATCCCAAGTGAAATTAAAAGGGTTCCAAGCATTAAAAAACTGACTTAAAGTAGCAACTGAACTAAAGTGGCTGGAAACCCTACTTCAGCGAATCGGGATTGTTAGCGAGGAGGGAAAAATAGTAACGCATGACCTCTATTTACAAAAAATGCTTGTCAACGCAATAATGCAATAATGCAGTAACGCAGTAATGCAATAAGGCTTGTGCAGACTGGAAGCTGAATCCTCTAAAAGCGCAGCTCACTGGAGTAGATGCAATTATCGGCTGAGCCAGACAAGCCTTTCCAGTCTCAGCCATTTGAGATTGGGTTTAATTTCAAATAGTGTGTGAGCACAAGGGAGAACCCTCCTAAGCAGGCATAGTCTTGACCTAACGGATCTCCATTGAATGCTGACAAGATGCGTGACAAAGCATTAATAAAAAAGCAAAGGTGAAGTTGTCTTACGTATTTTCCAGCGATCGTAAAGAACCGGAGCATCTGTATCACCCAGCCAGAGTTATTGCTGATGATTCTATTTGCCTGTGAATGCAGCATGAATGGAGTATTATTAGTGTCGCCAAATATGTAGAAATAAGTGCGAGTTACACCTAAAATAGTGCACTGCGACTTCAAAATATTGACAATGCTGTGCAGCTGTGCACCACAGGCTGCCAAATTCCCTTATAGCACTTTAAAAATTTTACAATAAAATAACAACAGTATTACACGGTTGTCAAATTAAAATAATGATAAAAAGGTGTACCGGCGTTGAACGCAGGCTGAAGTGAAGAACAACCCATATGAGACCGAGAATGGAGACAAACATGTCAAATCGGTTCCGCTTTGACTGCCAGTAGCCGTTAAAAGTGAGTGCAATTATCTTCATTACGCATTCCATACAGAAGAGGAAAGTGAATATCATGGCTAGTGTGACCTGCACCCGATAGCGTATCCTGACCCAAGGAAAGGCCTCTGCTCCACGCTCGTTAAACTAGTTGAAAATGACATAGTTGAGATTCATCTGCTCTGGACGGAAAGCCTACTCATTGACGGCAGGTTCACTCACAGGGAAAAAGAGCAGAGCACTGTTGAAGAGGACTAGTAGAGCAAAGGCTCTCTTGAAGGCAATGTGTTGTGTGATATCGTAGATCAGACATCGAAACCGCAGAAATGTAGTTTCGCTGGATATCGGCAACTGACCTGGCTCCGGACGAAGTTCTATTCAAAAGACGCTCAGTTCAGAGTGCATATGCTTGCGCTAATTTAATCTGATAGAGTATAATTTACTTGGCCGAGGTGGTATGTGCAAGGGCTGGGTCAATTTGATCCTCCCCTTTAAATCCAACCAACGCCGTTGATCTACAGTCAGCAAGGCGGTACCCTAAAGGAAGAAGAACAAAATGACACATTCTAGACTAAAGGCACCGGGAATTACATAGCTGTTGACAAGGCGTGGAGTTTGTAAAAATGTTTAAGCTGGAAAGGCAGATACATTGGTACTTTCAGTTTGTATCATTTTAAAATGTGTCTATAAAGTGGGAGCAGAGAAACCGTCCAAAATCGGGAAAGGGTAAGGGAAAACAAGAGAGTTACTCACCTTATTTTCACTATAATTTGCAATCACCACACCCACAAACAGAGTTAGTCCAATGAGGCAGCCGACAAACACAAAGAGGTGGATGTACACGACATGAGTCTAAAGAAGGCAGATAACCGCTCCTTCAAACAGCTTGGAAAATCATTTTAAATGCGCAACAGTGGTACTTCGTCCAAAGGCATGGACTTATCCAGGCGATTCTTTAATCGGCTACGGCTACCTCAGCAATGCAAATGGCATCTGGACTTCATTAGGTGTTTTAAAAGTCCTTAAAAACTATACAAAGCCTCAATGTTTGATCACGTTCTATGCAATAAAACTAACTTGGAATGACATAACAAATCCCAAATGTTTTTAAATGATTAATTCACCAGCTCATAAATACACCAAGGAAACAATTGATACAACCATGAAGTGAAGAGCTTCGAAGCTGAACCTACCGGGCCGATTCGAGCTCTAATAACATCTCTGATTTCCACCCATCCTTCCAACGAAAGCACCTCAAAAAGAGCCAGAATCGCGTTTCCAATGTTGTCGAAGTTAAAATTCCGGGGGTTAGCCCACACACGGGGTACCAGAAATTTCGGTGCAGGTCCCTTAAAACTCTTCATTCGCGTCACGGACAATTCCCTACGGAAGACGCCTTTGCAATCCTCCTGCGAAAAGGATCAGCCAAATAGTAATAGTGGCAGACAAAAGTCAAAATTGGCAAGCAAAATGCGACTCAAAGGTAAAAGTTTGGAGTAATGTTTCATGTGAATGAAAATCAAACATAAATGTATGCGATTCTCTGGGATGGTAAAGGACGTGCATTTTACGAATATGGATATGTTGCGTCTTTAAAACTGGGAGTGGGTTGATGACCACTGCAGGTTTCTAGGTTATTTCCAACCTGGACGCGACCATTAGGACCTGGAAATAAGCCTACTTTGCGAGCAATGCTTCGGTCGTTGCAAATTGCCAGACGTCCACCGAACATATGCACCCCATAGACGGCGAAAATGAAAATAAATACCACGAGCAGCACTGTAACCTACATTTGGGAAAGGAAAATGCAGTCGCATGCAAGGTTTGCAATGACAGTATAAAATTCATTTCAAAAAATCTGCATAACTTGTGATTTTTATACCTCAGAATTTTGCTTTTAGCAAACCACGCATTTACTTAATATACCGTGTGAGACTATTTCGGTAAAGGTGGGAGGAATGGGTAAAGTATAAATATCCAAGAGTCGGAACCCGCCTTCTACGCTGTCGGCCTCCTTCCCACCCCTTTACTGTAGGGTTTTATCTCCAAGACAGTGGCTCACATCAATTAAGGAGTCATGGAAGAGCAAACGCACTGTCAAATTTTATTTCTAACAAAAAAAGCCGTTCAATCGAAAGAAGAAGGAAAAAGGAGCACACACCATGAGTATTTCCCGGAAACCACGCACCAGTTCATAGACAACACGCCGCATCTGCGGGACGAGACAAAAGATGCGCAGCGGTCTAAGGCATCGCAGCACCATGAAGAGTTGGCCCACCGAACCCGGTCCCAACTTTTCCACTCGCATAAAGTAGCTCACAAAGGTTAGGCTCACCTAAAAACGGAAAAGCGCTCCAACACTTAACTAATCAAAGACATATAAAACCAGCGACAAAACATGAGCAAACCACCAGAAGCTGCAAAGAACCCAAATTTACCTCCCCTTCTTGTTTACCACTAAAAATAAGGGTAATGCATCCTTTGCTTTATGCTTCGTTGAGAATTTCAGTGCATTTGGAGATTATGCCTTTACTATTTGTTTTGACAACAGTATTGTAGCGAGTGCCATGAGAGCTACAGAATCCCACACCAGGCACTCAAAGCCTTATTAAGTGTACATTTGAGTAAACAGATCATTTGGAACCAAGGCGAGACGATCGTTTGATTATGACATTAAGGACCAATGCCTCGTTTTCGATATGGAATCTGAGAGCAAGTGCTTTCTGAAAAGGTGTGAATCCTGAGGAAAAGAACGACGGATAAAAAAATTTAGTCTTGGCTTGCATCCACCGACATACCTTTCACAACTACGTTATGGTAAACAAAATTCAAAAATGACAGTGTTTGTTGTGTGCATCACCTCCTACGAAGAAGGCAAAATACGCGTGTCATTTAGGCAAGAAAGCAAGAGGAAATAACTTGACCACGTCTTAGCACTGCAGTGAACTCCAACGACGCTGAAAACGACTAAATGATTTGACACGAGACGTTTATTTATTTAGCAATCTTGAATGAGGTACTCGTTGGTCTTCAGTGGTTTCCGCCTCTAATCCATGACGGTAGTTTTAATTTAAAAGTAGTTTGTCACGTGCATCTACAAATATTGGGAGACAAAAGGGTGCGACTCATTGGATTTAAGGATGCGATAATCCTATAACAGCAAAAAAAGCTTACAATGTAGGTAAATATATCCAGAAATCCACCGAAGTCTCTTAGCAGCGCATTAGGCGTAAAGATAAAACCATCAGCTAAGACTTTCAATGCAAGCTCAATTGTCATTCCGACAAAGAAAACATATTCACCAATCTGAAAGAAAATGAAAAGGAAGAAAGAGCTTTGTTAGGAGGTACCGATGAGTTACTTCTTGGAGCGGAGAAACGCACTTTATATCTAGTCGCCGTCTAACAAAAAACGAATTCGCACGAACGGTAAAGTGCACTAACATGAGCATCACATTCACAGCCTTAGTAGACAAAAGATCGCCTATTTTAATAACTATGCCATGTAGGTCTAAAGATGTACTGACAAATAAAGTGGTCCCCTAAACAGTATTACTTAGTGTGAGAAATCTTTAAAGATGCAAAAATCACTGACTGAAGTACAAACCTTAAGTTCCGGTGTATTCATGAGCCGCCGATGAGGCGTCTCCAGTGACATTGAAATGCAGGAAAGAATAGTGATCGTTAGCATTGACCAGTCAAGGTATGTGACGAAGCCCAGAATCTTACTGCAACGATGAATGAATAGTTCATGTCTCCAGTTTGTGCATAAGGACAGTAAAAGTGGTTTTAACAGCATGGAGTTAACGTTTGCAAAATTATAATCAAAAAATCAAAGGGACACCTAAACCATCAAATTCTCGTTACTGAAAGCTCATGATGTTTCCTATGTATTCTGCAGGCATCGAAACATCGAATCAGTATAGCGAGTACACCTACTGAATGCTGCCACCATTGCTGTCGTTACCGCTGCTTGATCTAGAGGCCTTATGCCGAGCTCTAACAACGAGACTGCAGAAACGTCGCAAACGACTCTGTCGGCCGAGCGTAAAAAGCGGACGATCAAAGAGAGGATGATTCTCTCGCAATTCCTCTTCCTGCTGAGTTCTACGGAGAAAAATGGCACTATTTGCAAAAGGCAGACAACATGGTTGCGAATGAGAGCATGTGAGGAGTTGAAAATTCGTTCCCACCGCTTAATCTCAGCCATCTGAGCTTTCTGTTGGAGCACCTTGATATCATAATGGCCAGTGCTGTCGAGACCGGCGCGCGAATCAGTGGCAGAGTCACTGCCTCCAAGGCCAGAGACAACGCTAAGGCCCCCTAGGCCGCTACTGTCAACGCCGCCACGCACCCCCATTCCCATGCTCATCCCCATTGGTGTCCCATCGCGTCCTAGAAAAGCCGTCCCCAGCGATCCTCCTGACCGGTTTCTCAGACTTCTAAATTTCAAAAGTACACACGGACAACATTCCATGTATTGTAACAGCTAAACGTGGAAGAATCTTTATACCGAACAGAACTTAAAAGTACAGAAAAAGTAATCAGTGTAATAGAATTTTTGGTTTGCATAACAACATCTATGCATGCCAGAACGATGCAAGGTTGATCGTCAAAGCATTTCCTAGTTTCATGACATTAAGTCAAAATAGATGTAATTATACTAGTAATTATGAGCTGATCCATTGACAACCAAAAATTTGGTGTTATAAAAAAGTGGATTTACCTCCTCTCAAGTCGGATGTGATGCTGAGTTGAGAGCAGTGATCGACCATTGACGTTTGGCGACTGCTCCATGCTGAGCAGTCGAGTTTTGTTCGATTCACTGCAGTAAAACACTTTTCGTTAGCGTTCACAAATGTCCACTTATAAGTACAATTGATACTGACTTCCTCAACGCTAAAATTATGAACTGCATCCATGTAGTTGGAGCATGGAGCTAATAACCTGTTCTGACATTCCAGCACCATCTTAAATCAGGACGTTCGTGGAGGGAAAGAAAGAAGCTTTCTTTTGGATAAGATAGTATGCAATTACTCAGTAATGAATGACGGTAAACAGGTGCGTAAATGCCATTGGGAACGGGAGGCAAGAGAGCAGATGTGGTCGCAGTTGCCGCCAAGCTGCTGCAGCGCACCAATGGGAGAGCGATACGGTGGACAGCGGTGTGGGATCGATATGGCAGGCGAGGCAATCGCCGCAGTGATCTGAGTTGCTGCTGCTCGCTCCAGGGCACAAAATGATCAGTGATCTGCACTTTTAGCATTACACCTCAGAGTTCTTCAAGAGTTTTGGCTTTACACATAACCTAACAAACAAAGCTTACACCTCACCAGTTTTGGGACTCGTGTATACATGAGTTATCCGCGGGTGCGATTACTACTTCCGGAAACTTCCGGGGACTTGATTTCCATTGGCTCCAGAAATAATAGATTAAGAGATTCCAATGATATTTTTATCAAGAAAAGCATGGAGTAGACCAAGCATTCTCAATCATGATCCAGAAGTTGTTAAAAGACTGAAGGAGAACCTTCCAAAAGCAGGCGGCTGTTTACTCCAAGGCACCGGTTAAGACAAATATATGAGCAGCATTAAAAGCATGAACGAAAGCGATTTCGACTTGCGCATGGGTGCTCAAACAAAACCCAAATAAGGTTCAGACAACAAAGAATAAGGGTTTGATTACTTGAGTAGATAGACTATAGCTCTGACTTTCTCCTCCCCATGAAGACCGTGCACTTTACGACGAATCTCGCGTGAGCAGGAAATGGCCGCGGCTGTTTCAGCAGCTTTTGATCGCCATCCGCCAGCAGCTGAGTTGGGGACGCCACTGTCACTACTGCCGCTGGTACCTGGCACAGAGTGCGATTGAGAGATAATCGATTTGGTGCCAGAACCAGTGCCGCCACCTCCCCCTCCTCCACCTGCACTCACCACCCCAACCGTTGCAGAAGCCGATGTGAGGCCACTAGGGATAAGAGCAGCACTGGCAGAGATGGATGCCATCGTTGTGGCGGCCGCCAGAATCTCTGACACCGCCTCTTCCTCCACCTCCTCTAGGGCCGATACTGCAGCGAACTGACGCATAAAACTGTCGCGAATCTTGGGTAACAGGAAATCGGATACTAGTCGGGTCAGCTTCACCATCTGTGGGCGGTTTCTGCCAATCAACGAATAAGAAAATGGAGGAAGAAGTAGAATCCATTATTTGAAACCTCCCAGCAACATTAATGTGTTGGATCGAGGTCAAAACTGTAAGCCATTTTTAACCTTATGACAAATTTTATTCGAAATACAATAGAGGTAAGCTAATGAGCAGTTAGTAAGGCGAAAACCTTCAAAGCGGTTATTATCGTCTAAATCAAACCCAACAAATATCAACATCAGAAATTATGCCAATCGTAGGCCTTAAAAACACAATGTTTAAACCTACTTTAGTGGTAGGTTCGCCTTAACAGCAAATTCTCAACCGTGAAGAAGCACAGATGCATTGTAAGTAATTACGGAATCCGTAACATAAGTGTGCTTTAGAAAACCACGATTCCTGTACACACAAACTTAAAGTTAACACCTATTTTTGAAATAAGAGCAAACTGTTGATGAGAGACTTGCCGTCGATAGTTCTGAAATCCACTGCTATAATGCACTTACGTGCTAGCGCTGTGCAGGGGAAATAATGGGTTGTGAAGCGCTCTATAACAATCTGTATCCTGTCCGATGTAAAAAGAAGGATTAACAATCGTTTGTTGAGTGAAATATTCAAAGATACTCACGGGAACTTTTCAAATATTCGTAAACGAAGTGGAAGCTTCTGCTGCGTCTCAGCACTGATCTCCCTCATTTTTAACTACAAAATGCATGTGAAACGTGGATCAGGGCAAAACCGTTAGTCAAAAAGCGGCTTGAAATGAAGGCATTTTGTGGGATAATATCGTTGGTGCGGTTTGGACTACACATAGCCATCACAAAACTTAAAACCCGATTATTTCGATGTTTACCTTTGACAGAGAAACTACTCCTAAATTTGCCATTATTCGGCACTATGTTTAGCTGCGAGACATCTGCATGAAAATTCTGCCACCTTCCCTTCAAAGGCGCATTCGTTTTGAGTGCACCTATTCTTACCGCATCACGATGCCATTCCTCTCAAATAAGAACATTCACAAAAGAAGTATTGACTGAACGGTATCGCTAATGCTAGCTCTTTCGTGGGAGGACCAAGAAAAAACGCTCCACTGCATTTCAAGACTGTGGAGTCATATTTATTAAGAACCATTTGCGCTTCGCTAAACTGTTTGGGTTTTCTGTATACCTTTGCCGAAATTCCGTTGTTGTAATGCAATTTTGCGTGAAACATTGCTTGGATTCCTAAATTGTACCAAAATGCTCGAGCATAAGAATGTTATCAGTAGCAAAAATCTACGGCTTACCTGCTTCAGTTTCTTAATATCCTCGTCCAGCTCCAGATTGTCCAATATAACAGCCACGAAAAGGCTGAGAACAATCTAAAGGTGAGGTGATTGAGAAAGTGATATGGTGAAAAGCTCTAGACAAGGCCGTCAATCAGTGAGAGGACGAACCAAGGTGACAAAGAGGTGATAGAAGACAAAGTAAATTGCCACGCCAGTAGTTACCGCTGCCGAGTCGACGACGTCCATTGTGTCATGCATTACTGCAACCCAGCCCTTTTGCGTCAGGATTTGAAACATGGACATAAAGGCCTTAAGAGGAGAAAACAAGATGAATAGCCCACAAGTTCATGGCTTATCTCATGAAGTGATGACAACCGAAACACCGGCGATGTAAATATTTAGAAATTAAAGAAAAAAGGCAAAAAATTGAAATCTAAAAACATCGACAGGTCCTCTAAACCCTCAATTGTCAATCTACTTGCACTTTGCAATGATGCATTTACTTATTCGAAGAAGCAGTAACTCAGTAACAAACACCTCAATTGTTCAAGTGACTAAATAATTAATCTCGATTTATTTGTTTATTTATTTAATCATTTATTTGAAAAGGCAGACGGCCTCCCAACAGCGGTGCGACTGACGTAAATGTCAACATGTACAACTGCACATCTGCTGGCGTTGGAAATGGCCTCGCCCGTCCAATCCATCATAAACACGCGTTTCACGCGTTTGCCTTCGAGGCATGGCCTTACAGAGGTCAGAAGAAAAAATGACTTTTGCCTAGTTCATCCTAACCTACAAGGCTGCACGCATATTCTTGTGAAACGATTATTCGAACAACATTATCCGTAGGAAACCGTTGGTCTTTTGCCTGACCTGCCCCCTTTTGCTGAGGGGGAAATAGAGTTAGGAAAAATGGCAACTTTTGAATGTTGAGACTAGTGAATCAACTAAAGTAAAATTATTGGTCAGTATTGAGATCGTGTAACTTGATTTGAAGGGGTTGTACTTTGGCCGGATTCGAATTAGTCCATTTTTAGATGAGACCTCTCATACACCCAATGACGAAAAGAGTACCTTTGGAAATGTCTCAAACCGATCAAACTCTTCATCGAAGGCCTGGAAGAAGCAAAATAACTGCAGACTGAAGGTTGAAGTGATTACCAGCAGACAAGTGGTAAATAAAACCAGGCTTCCCAGCTTTTTCCCAGGGCCGAAAATCTACAAAATGTAGGTAAATAGGTGTAGCTACTGGGACTACACGAGCAACCAAATTTGGTATTCGACACCTATCAATCGAAAGAACACTGGAAGTACAATTTTGGTCTATCAAGACTTCACACTTTGAAATATCCCACATTTTCACGTTATTCTATGTAAAGCACTTGCACAAGGCTTATTGTCCTCATCATACCATCGGAAATGCCATATTAAAGGACGTTGCCTATCACGTCCAGGAAGGGTGCATGAAGTTTTACGCATTTTTTCCTAAGGCTTACCTTAAAACAAAAATCCTCCAGCATTGGAGAAGCCTTGATCAATCTCACTATTCTCATGACCTGTGGAAGAACAATCTGCCAGTTTATTGAGATGTAATACGGATGAAACTTTTGGAAGAGAAAAACATTGATAATAAAGAGGAACGCAATGTCACTGTGAAAGCCCAGAGCTTTTGCTATGCAAAGAGCCCCGGATTTAAAGTCATAGCTGTCCTGATCCGATTCAAGCACTCTAATTCAAGCGCCCAACAGGTTAACCATAACTTTCCAGTGTAGGCTACTGACACGAGTTGGCTTAAGGGAGGTGCTGCTGGTTTCTGTTTACGTGTTTTAAAGCACTAAAATGCATCAATTTTGCCTGACGACGTTCATTATTCCGTGAGGAATGAACTTACCGCCAAATAAGTGAACTCAGTGCGGTAGAGCTGGGGAATGCAGTGCAGAGTGGTGCCGATGCAGAGCATCAGCTCAAACTTGAAGAGAGAACGAGACCAGTAAGTCCGCCACCCAAGACACCAAATTTTAAAGGCAGCCTCTAGATTGAACACCATTGTGAACCCTAACTAAAAAAATACAGTAGTGCAGTAAGAAAGGAAGACCGCATTTCTGGACCCTAGAATCGTCTGCACCAATACCTCACATGGGGAGAAAGTTGGTATCGCTCTACAGCTATAATCTACAGCTTTGACAACAGACTTGTTAAGAAGTACATCATTGCGCCAGCTTTATTCATCGCACTATTAGCAGTAGTACACTCTGACTTAGCAAAATGCCGTAAAAGCCATTTTCGAAATTTGGGCAAAGTGGATACGGCTAAAATGAAACCACGACAGTTTCTGCGATTTCAGTTTTCACTACGTGGCTGTTGTGTCAGTTAAAGTTGAGCATGAATGCATTGCTGATGAAGGGGAAGGTACTCAAAATGAGGTCACCTCAGCAAAGTAGAATCCGTCCATGTGAATCTGTTCATCGTAGTCATCGTGTCGCACGCGCTGATGGTTGAAGTGCTGACCCGCAGCAGTGATTGCATTGGCTAACACCAGGAGCATAATAACTATGTTGAAACCCGTCGATTTAAGGAGAGTCTATGGAGCATTACAAAAAAAAATTTGGCCGCAATGTCAAAAAATATTTGACGTCTGACTGCCAAATTGGCACTCACCTCTTCAACAAAACGGGGAGCCAGACCACGCGATTTCCTCTCATGCACAGGAACTAGTTTCCAAGACGTACCGTCGAATTGAAAAATCTAATTTGGTAAAGTCAAAAACTTCAAACATCTAGTTAGCGCCACTGCCTTCAGATCAGCTACCTAAACACAATAGCCTATAATGCATAATGAAGTGGTAAGGGCGTTTATCGGGACTCCCCATTTATGAAATTGTTTTACATCGGTATCACAATATCTGGCATTTCGATTTAAACTTACATTAAACCTGGGAACGCCTAATGACTTCTATCAAAACACTTAAGCTACCATTGTGCATCCAACCCACTCGTCTATAGCCTAAGGAAAGTGAAACTGCTAAGGATTTGTTAATAGTCGTATTTGCAGACTTCTTTCCCAACCTTTGAAAAATCCGTGTCAGTGGCGATTCGAGGCGACCACATTTGCTGAAACTGAACACGAATCTCTGCAAATGTTTCCGTCAGCACGGCAATGAACACATTCTGAGAAAAGAAATACCCTTGGTAAAAAGGAGACCAAAAACAGCCGAGAATCATCCATACAACTTTATTTTTTTTACCTTAACTAGCCACGCCAACATGAAAATCATCGTGATGAAGTAGGCCACACCTTTCCAAGGGGCAAGACAATCCATCGCCCTGTACATTATGAAGACCCAGCCTTCTTGCGATGAAGCTTGATATACGGTGAACATGCTGATGTCTACGGAAAAGTGGAGGCTTTAGCCATCGGTATCTTTCAGGATATCGACCAAATGTGCGGGCTTGTAGACAAATTACATTCCTGTACTACGATAACTTTAAATTTTTAATGAAATACGTAGTAAAATGCGAGTATCAGAAGCCAAAAGGGTGTATTCTAGACATATTCACGATGATTGGCAATGCGTCATTGGCATTAAACTAGTTATACAACATGTACTGTGACTGCCAGAAGGTGAATGGGAAAACTCCGATAACTTACGAAAGGCTTCGAAACTTGCATAGCTACCCTCATCAGCGATGGAGGTTCTCGCTCGAACACACTTCATGTTTTTCGGACATTGGTTCTCAGTTTCAGGTGCGAACGGATTACAATAAGAGTCCGGTATGGCCAGATCCGATTTCAATAGGTTACTATGATTTAAAAGCAATTCATGATTAAGTCAGCTATTTGACCACGAAATATAATGGCATTATGAATCCTCTAGACCGCATAAATACCTCTCATTGGCGCTCTTTACTACACAGTGATAGTTTAACTCGTCACCGAAGAACTGCACTCCAAGAAGTCCATACAGCGACATGAAGAAGAGCAAGAAAACACTGACATTGTAGATTTGGTGAGTCGACCGCCTCAAAATAAGAGGAAGTATGCACATGAAACACCTTATCACTTAAACTACCGTCAAAAAAATAAAGTACTAGTGTTATCATAATTGTGATTTCGACCATGTACATCTTACCGATGTGAATAGCCCCTAACTGATGAGTACAGCAGTATTTCGATAGCGTAAAGATAGTAAAAGCCTCATAAGAAAGCAAAAATGTTACCACTTAACCACTTGTTAGATGCCTGTCTTGCATTGAAACCTTCGAAGAGTTATAAACCTAAAAGGCTGAAGAATTATGGTATATGCCATTAAACTGCAGTTAAAAGCGGATGTAATTCGTTGTTTTACTTATTCTTCAGTCTGAATAATCATGCCAACATCATGGCAATTAGAGGAATATGGAACTCAACCGTACAAGTAAAGTTGTCTGTGAGTGTTCAAGTTAAAATTTTTATCTGGCGACAAATTTTCTGGGAACAGCATAAGGGATCGCCTTACTGAAAGATGGCGTTCACACGGGCCGGGGGCAGTTGCAGCTTGAGAACAGCACGAAACACGCGGATGAGGATGAGAGGTCGGGGACAGCGTAGTACGCTGAGCCAACCATACTGGCGCCAGAATTTCTGCTCCTCCTCACCCGTACGCCAAGTGGCGCGTAGCTCAAAGCACTGTAGCACTATGGAGGCCCACAAGCAGAAAACCATGAAGGCGTCGAAGCAATTCCATGACTGTTGGAAATACGCCCGATTGCGTCGTGACGAAGACTCCACGTTCACACCCATGGACTGTGCATGTTGCGACATGCGAGAAGGTGAAAAGGAAGGGGGACCAAAGACGTCAAACGAGACAATTGAGAAAAAAGATGGGGGAAAAAAGAATGATGCATGCGTCAAACTGATACTAGTTTCGGTATGAGTGCAGGAAATCAAAGCAACATCAGAAACTTAGGTGAGGATGCTCTACATTGACATCAACACCATGCAGTGGCAGAATGTTTCGGTGAACCAAATCACAGGAATATTGGATGAGGTTAACACATAGCTAGCGACCATTCATGAATAAAGCGGTAGGGCTCGATAAAATTTGCCTTTACAGTGGCAAATCGGTTGTGGTGTAACCTACTTTCCATCCCTAATCTAATTCTCAATGTAGGAGGTAAAAGAGTCTCCAAGTGTAGTAGAATGTACTCTCCAAAGGTATTCCACCAACAAACTATTTAGTAAAGTAATGAAACAGTCGCAAAATCGCACAGTAACTTATAGGGATGGAGATAAGCAAAAACTCCAATGCACGTAAACGCTTCCAGTTGTTTAGTGTTTATATGCAAAGAAAGATGTCTAAGAGAGTCAAGTTTTGCAATACTTAAAAACTCACTTGGTGCTAGATAGTACTGAAATTTCATGGAAGTGCCAAGAATCTTACGACAGTTAGAGCAAAGCCAGACATGCAGGAATTATAGTTCTGGGTAGAAAGCATGGAACGAAAGATACATGTGAGGTAGAGGTAGTTGCCAAAGTGTGCAAAGCATACAAAAGATAAAATTATAAAAGGGGCACATTAAAATGTCTAAATGCTCTAGGAAACCAAAATTCACGCATCAGTGCGAACTCAAAATGGGACCAGATTCGAGCAATAGCTAATCATTGGTCTTACCTTAGCTGCAATTTGCTTTTTGATAAGCTGATTTAGATCCTGCATTAAGCAAATTATGAGATTGAAAATAGCATTTAGTATCATAACTAATTCATATTCTAATGGAATTCAGTTAAATGTGAGCTAAATAGCGTACATTCTATCCGTTTCGGATGAATAAATGCGTCAAGAAAAGGTGATATTTCAAAAACGAAGCACAAGCTGAGAATCATAAAGTACTGCTTAGCTTAGAAATGTGTCATACCTGATTAGTTGATGGCGCAACCAAACCTTGAACGCACATCTTCGTAATCATTTCAACGGTCAATAAGCAAGCCACCATAATATCAACCGCAAACGTGACGTACATAAGAGATGGAACGTATTCAAATGTCTTCGGTGTGTTCGCACTTACTGATATCAAACTTATTAGTGCAGCAGATCGCAGTAACATCCTATAGATTAAAATGAATGGCAAGACAAACCAAGAACAAAACATCGGTAATGAGTATAAAATAGTAGCGAATCGACTACTACGCTCACCACATAATACATTGCATAAAGTGAAACCCCAAAAACTTTGAGAACAAGTAGGAATTCGTCGTAGTGCCGAATATAAAGGCAGTTTATCCTTATGGTAACTAAAACCTTAATTGATATGCAGACTCAAACGCACAGATTTAACTAGATAATCAATGTCCAGGAAAAGATCTACCGAAAACAATATCGTTGCTACACGTGCACCTTAGTCAGAAATCATAAAAGCACACAGACCACTTGTTTCAGCTAGGGCCAAGGTGACGAAACTTACTTTGCCCAGTGTGTATAAACCCAACGGAGCGAATGTGGCTCAACCTCGTCGGTTGGAAAATTAAGTCCAGGGAGGATGGGCAAAGTTTCCCTTGGGCGACTTGCATCCTTGTCCAACTTAAACATGATAGAGCATAAGGGTGGACCAGAGACGGCCTACGCAAATTACTAACGCTTTCAAATCGCCTTTAAGGCCAAATCACAATGACATTTTGAAGAATTTAAAGACTACGGCAAATAAACAAATATAAGCAAAATGCTCAATTATGATTGTTTTCTGCAGTAATTTTATTTAAAATTTCTCCGTGAACTCAGTCTGTTCATCATTTTAATCAGTATGGAGTGAGTCTTTGATTTTGACAAGAAACGGAGCATTTGCGTTAAAGGCAGTTTATGATGTCGCAATTCGCCATAAAAGAATGCACTTGCGAATCGTCAAAAGTCCGGATTCGAGTGTGCGATATAAGGTCACGGAACCGTCAAGATCGATGTAAACTTAATGGTGCCCATCACTTCTCAATAGGTAGAAGACGGTTATTAGTAGTGCTGGAATACATTTATTCCAAAAGGATAAAAAAGCATTAAACTTTTGCGTTGTTCGAAGTCTACCTCACGCGTACAAGAGCAGCATCAATGCTAGAGAGGCCGTCAAGCATACAGACGGTCATTAAAAAAAGTATTACCAGTATAAAATAGCCGTCAAATCAATGACCATCTCGCTTTTGTGGCGTAGACTGCCTTCTAGGCCAGGCTAGGACCTAATTTGTATTCGTTCCGCCTAAATGCAGAAACTAGCTATGCTTAATGCTTTACACGAAGCGCTTAGCCGGTTTCAGCAATGCGCAAAATTGATCTCTTATAACTCAGTAAATAATTTTTATTTTTAACAGCGAAACAATTTGTTTCAATCCTAGAATTTCCATTTAGGTTGTAAAGCATTTGACATGGCGAAAAAAATTGCAGACTTCCAAAGTCAAGACGTAGACTGCCGTGAATGAGTTTGGAGGTGCCATGCTTAACCGTCCTGTTAAAAGTGTGCACGCATTTTTTTTCTCCTTGATTGCTTGGGATCCAACGCGAGCATCGCTTATCCCTGCCCCTCCCTCTCTCCTCTCGTCTGTTTGGAGACGTAGAGAGCCACATTACGTGCTATAGGGAACCAAATGTTTCATTGATATGCGCAACAAGTAAGAAGCCCCATGTTACCGTGGTAAAGTGGTCTAGGGTGAAATCACAGTCGAGGGTGTTTCGGCCGTTGACTCCCGTTCCCACTTTCTCCGAGAGGGTACTAGTGTACTAAATCGACAGTCTTTACAGCACAATCGGTTCACTGCCATTGTGAGAGTAGAAAGTGCCCTCCACACAATCGTTAATTGCATCGCTGTTGTGCCACACATTCACGGTGACAGAAGAAGAAGAAGAAGAAGTTACTTCCTTTGATGTCATCGACTTTCCTTTTGTTGAGCGTAGCTTACTAGGCTGGGAGACGGTTGCGATTTGTGGTGAGTGCAAAGGCAGTCCTGAGGCATGCTGTCGATGTGAGTGCACCTGATTCAGGGTGCACTGAACGAGCAAACGTTCTTACAACTTGTCAATGGTCTGCAAGGAGGGGAAGGAGTAGTTGTTGGGGCAGGGGTTAGATCGGGAGCAGGCAAGGTGAGTCGAATGTGGATGGGGGCGTGGACTTCTTCCGTAGTGTACTATTACTTTGTTCAGGCTATGGAGTTGGTGGAAGAGGGCGGCGTGGCTGGCTACCTGTTTCGTTGTCGCAACCTTGACTGATGTGCTGAGGCAACTGATGTCAGCACCATGGAGTTTATCAAGCGCGATGCATGGTCAGACTTCGCGTCTAAGGCGACCATTTGGTTGCGACGGACCGTGGAAAACGCTATGGTCAGTTTCTTAGTGTTCGCCGTCTCCCTTTGGGTTACGGTGGAGGATGGTGCTGGCTATACTCCAACTTGCTGGAAGATAACATGGATAAACTTTGCACACTCTCCTCTGAAGCGGGTTTCTGAGGTTATGCCAATTTTCAAAGTGAAGGAATAAGGGGAAGGGTTTGAAGAGTTGTCAGAATCTTTGCCGTTGGACACATTTGTGTCGTTTTATGATGGGAGAGGTGGAAAGAGGGGTACATCGTCGACAACTCGACTGGCACTCTTGTAGTGCCTTCGAACCCAAAGATCGGGAAGTTCCTTTGTGAGAATATCCCAGAGTTGTCAGAATCTCGTGCAATACCCTCTGATGTTTGAGCTTGCCTTTATAGAAGAGAGGCGAACATCAAGTCTATTACGAGTCTAGTGCGATCAGTGTAGAGTTAATTTTTCGGATGACATCGGCTTTCCGCCCCTTCAATCCCCTTCCATTTCTTTTTTTCTGTGTATGATGCGAATTAAAGTTTTCTTAATGGAATGCTTTGTTTATGTGACTACTTCTTATATCGGCTAGGTAGTCTCGGGTCGCTACACTGGTGGCAGCGGGAAGCGAATCCGAATTTTTTACGACTTTTGTTATAATGTGTTTTTGAAGACCTTCTGCTCCATCCGATGTGGTGTCTCCATCTGAGGCTTGTTTTTCGTTGGTCATTTTTTAAAAGCGACATAGTGCCCGAGAAAATATATTACCCAACAGACATCGCTGTCTTACTGCCATCCTAGGTTTGCGTCGCTAAACTTTGCCAATTAAATGACTAATTTCTGGAAAAGAACAGTACGAACAAGTCGACGAGCAACGGTTCGATTGGATGATGCACTGGTTCAATGCATGCAGATACCTCAAAATGGGGTTCCCTCGGTCGGAAAGTGGAAACCTCAATTTTCACGACAAGAAGGTCATAATCCAGCCAGCAGATGAGAGTGCAAAGGATTTAACTTTTTATTGGAGAAATCCAAGATCAGCAAGCGCATTCTGGCAATCATGAGTTATGCATGCGTAGGAGGAAGTCGGACTCTATCGAAGTGCAGTAGATGAAGATACAGACGAAAAAGGGACGTGACTTGAAGGAGGCGCATTTATCGTAGTGACGGATCATCTCTGAAACCCTCACAACGAAAGGGTTGAGACTGACGTCTGCATTTGGTTTTACCTTATTCCCGTGTTCCACAAACAAGCTTTTAACAACTGAAGCAACACCGCCGTGAAATATCTGGAAAAGTTTCGTGTCGGAGTTCCCCATACAAAATCTTTATACATGGGACAGTGAGTCGTCCCGTTTTCCTTGTAACAATATATGTTCTAGACCAGAGTTCCACCGTCTATTCCTGGAAGCAATTGATGGTCAACAGATGTATGCGGCCTCGAATCTGGTTGTCAGACCAAAAGTAACTCCAGATCCATTTGAAGATGCCGAGAAGATCAGGTACGGTTTCTTGCTCGTGGGTGCTTTTATTGGTAGCGAATATGTCGCGATGGCTGGCGCGGGAGGTGTACCAAGGGAAGCACCGAGGACGTCGGTCTAAAGAAGAGAGGGGCAGTGTAATGCTTTTTTAAGTGACAACATGACGTTCGGCAGTCACTTTAGGATTTGCCTGGTTCTTGTCCACGTGGACTGGGCTTCGGGCCATGTCTAGGCCCACTTGTCGTGTCGTCTTCAGAATACATGTACTCAACCTTACCTATGCATTCTACTACCCTATGGGAGGCATCGGGACGCTAAATTTAACGAACCTTCCCTGAAGTCCGAGGTTCAGGAGACTGAGAGCAAGCAAACAGGCTTTACACCTTGGCCAGTGGATACACCTGTACCGTTATATGGTGATGAAGGTGGAAATAAAGGAAATTAACTCCTTGTATTTCTGAGACTGCTGGTCGAATTTTACAAAGGTCTTATATAAGAGATAGCAAAATACATTTTGTTGTAATTGTTTATTTAATTTCAGGTTCCCTTTAAAGAATGATGCGTATTATTTTATGTTGAAGTTAGTAATCACGAGTATACAACGATAAAATCAAGGCGGTATAGGTTTGACAAAAGGAATCGTAGCTTTTCTTAAATAAAAATTCTCTAATAAGTAACGCGAAATTTTATTAATTGGGTTATAAATGCAATTATGCGAAGTAATTTCGGTAAAGCATTAAGCCTGTAACTTGTGTTCTTACCATTCGCATACCATATTGATCAGTGACCTTAAAACTTGGCAGACTTAAAACTTGTGGAAACGCATTGTTTTGGTGGGAATGAATAGGGCGAGCTTTTATGGCGATTCTGTAAGTTCTTGCTGACAAATTTTGTTTTTATGTTGGGACTTTTCGTAGATGCGAAAAATGTCGCTTTTACTTAGGTACCAAAGCAGGTTTTTCTCCTAAAAAGGTAGTTAAGTGGTCAATCTGAGTCTAAGCTTCACATGTTGTAATCATCTTTATCAATCTTTGAACCCGTAGGTGAGCTGTGTATACTGTCACTGAGGCATGCAAAATAACACCGTTGCTTGTTATTTGCTTGCTGCGTAACCCTACCATAAATTTTTAGCTGCAGTCCAATTGTTTCTGCACCCACCGCATTTGGAAACTCGAAACTCCCGTCCACTTAGCATTTCAAAGAATCTGCCTAAAACGCATTTAAATGAGCTTAATAATTCATGCATGTTTTCTTTTTATAAAAACATGTGTCAGTTGTTGGTGCTTTTGTGGTTGAAAAGCTTTATTTCGAATTCAAAATAATCTGCGTCTTTCTTCATTCCCACCAGATACAGTATTGGTATGCACCTCCAAACAAATGTTTCGAAAAAGCTAAACAGAGATACTCTTGGTTTCTATTTACTAGGTCTAGTGAGCGCTTTTGTTTGCACAAATTTAACACTGTGATTTGCTGCTATGTGCACTCGCTAAGTTAAAATAAATCTCAATAGATGGTAGCTTATGTTTTTATTTCTTTCTTAATAGTCTTACTTCTCCCTTCATTCTTCTCTTGTGTTATGTAACCTTAATGTGAGAAGTCCTTTTGCCATTATTGTTTGCACATGTGTGGATACTTGGAAAGTTAAACCACTGATGATTGCCAACCGCTTACTCCAACACGCTCTAAATAATGTCATCTTTAGTCGAATGCAGAAGGGGCTTTATATTATTGGTCGCCAGTTTGACGTGAATTCGTCACTCCTTCAGTTCAAGACATTTAATGAAAAATTAGGGTCTTAAAAGGAGAATGTTCTAGCAAAGGATCAAGACTTTGTTAGCTTTTGTCTGGATAACCCCTCAACAACTTAAAAGGACCTCAAGCGCTTATCCTCATGAAGTATATTAGCTTTGTTTTGGTTTCAAGACTCATTAATGATTTGAGGAACATCCCAATACGTTCGAAGCCTGCAACTGTCTGCAAAAACATCACTTAACGGAACTGCAGCGAAGCATTAAAGTGTTAAAATGAGAATAATGGCTGCGTATGGAAAGTTAAACGTAGTCCTGATAGCTTTTCGGCAGTGGGGATTTTTGTTATGTTCTATTTAAGGTAAACCTTTAAATACAAGACACTCTTTACTTTATTTAAGCCTACGATTTGGAGTCTACTTGTCCTGTACTGCGCACTAACAAACCGTTCAGCAGCGTCGCCTTACACGATGGTGAAATAACAGGTTCCATTGTTATGCTATAAACTAAGGCAAACATTTCAGTGTGTGTTAATTATGAACCCATCTCTCAGATTCGACTTTATCTTGGTCACAAGGTTCTTGTGCCTTGACTATTGTTAGGAGCATTTCTCACTTTTTCTCATAGCTGGCGCAATTCGTTGGATCAGGCTTAAAGTTGATTCGGAACGTGCTGCAATGAATGCCTCTCGCACATCCCAGCGCCCACTTATTGATCCTCTCCACGGCCAGCCAATCAAATAGCAGGAAGTGTGCGCACGTTGTCCGAACTGACCCTTTTGGTATCCCATGTGGGTAGAAGGGTGGATGGGTACCAGGCCAAATACACGCACATAACTTCCCTTGTATCGTCTTCACCATTTCAAAGAGATATGGAAACTGGAGTTGTTAAAAGGTAGAAGGCGATCGGTTAGAAAAAATCCACGAAAAGCCTAATTGGATTGTTTATTAAAATAGTGACTTCTTAACTCGGGTTAGAAATCGACTTCATAGACCATTTTTATGACAAAGAGGTGGCGGAGGTTAATGCACACAAGCCCACATGTTTCCCAGCCTCAAAGTTTTAATGATAATTGGGTGAGATCTCGAGAGTGGGGAGCATTCTGATTAGACTCTAAAAGTGCCTCCGACGTACGACATGGTTTTAAAAACATCCAAAATATTATTCCGCATCAGCATTGTCATTACCTTCTATTAATGCTCCACAAATTCGCAAATGCAGGGATGAGTATAGCTTGAAATCTTGGTAGTGGTGTATCACTAATTAACGTATTAAGCAGTTGGTCTTATTTTTACACCATTTCCATCGCCTCCTTGTCATTTTTTGCTATAAATACACCCAACTTATAGTTGGGATAGGATGATGTTTTGTACAAAAATTGGTTTATGTCCGAATGCGTAAATCATTGAGCTAAAGCACCTGACAAGGAAAGAGGCATAATCCTTTTCAAAAGCCATGTAGCATTATCGAGGCATCGACATACAGATGCATCATTTGCGCTTAGCCAAACTGTTATTTCGCATCTGAGAGGGAAGCTTTTGCCCCCCTAAAATATGAGATTCTTGTGGTCTGGAAAAGGCTCTATCGAACTGGCAGTCAATCTGGAAATTATGCGTGGATTTGTAAACATTATCATCGAGGAGTAATTGCCACTAAATCGATCGTCTTTTTGGGTTTAAATCAAATGTATTGGGTTGAACCATCCTTCTAGTTTCAGTCTCTGAACAAATTTAGGCTGTTCTTACTAGTTAGTGTGTTTCCGCCTCGGTCACACTAAATGGTATTTTAGGTGGATTACTCTGATAGTTCGGATGAGTCATCGGACGAGGACGAACTGCTGCTCCGAGCGGAGCTTCGAGAACAGGAGCAAAGGGCCCTCATCGACTTGGATATCGCTTCAGTGCGTGATCTTCAGTAATACTTGAATTGTAGTTAATTCAACATTGATTTCTTCCTTACACAAACATCTCACGTGCCTGGTTCATCGATCAGGTTCTACAATGACTTGGTAACTAGAATAATTTCATGTATTCTTATCAAGTATTAATGCTTCTACACATCAATGATTTATTAATCTCAAATTATTGAGGTTGAGTGACCTTTGATTCTCTTTGGAGAATGCTCCAGTTGCGTTTAGCGTGCGTACCAATGTTGAGTTTGATGGTCTTCTAAACGGCCTCGATGCACCGATTCCTACAAAAGTGATCAGTTTTGCGGCAAAGGAGTTCCTGCAAGTGAAGCGTCGTTTTGACCAGAACTGGTGGATTGGACGTGTGGTGCGTGAGGGTGCACCGATCGGCTTCCTACCCAGCCCCTCGAAGTTGGAGACGCTGCGCCATTCCATCCAAAATAATCTCTCTCAGCTTCTCCTCTCTGAGGCTCTCAACGTCGCTGCTTCCAACAGCCCCCCTAACGCCTCCTCTTCCGCCGCTGCCGCCGCTGCCTCCGTCTCTGGAGGCGGAGCTAATCCCCTTAACCCCACCATGGCCTCCGGTAGGTAATCTCGATACCGCTTCTGATCTTGTCTATAGCATTCCAATCTACCAGCAGAACTTTCAAAATGGATAAACAATTTCGGTGCTCGTTTCACTATTAACTCATTAATTCGCTAGTGTGCTACTTGAAAAGCAATGGGTGAAGATAGCTGATGTACCATTTTCGTCGCTATATATGATAAAATGGAACGAGTGTTACTTTTAGCTGCATACATGTATGCATTGTTTCGCAAACAACTTTGGTCTTTAAATCGGAAAACGTCCGGATATACTAATTTTGGTGGTAGTTTGTTGACTTACTGCAGGTGATTAGCAAATACCGTTTAAAAATAGTACTGTTGGATTATTTAGCGACTAGGAGAAACACAACCAAGTCTGAAAGTTAATTAATACTGGACCCTAGTCTGTAAGCCTTCCTCCGCAACAAATTCGTCCAAAAATGTCAGATTGAACTAATGACCGCTGCACAGCAGAGATGACCATGACCTCTGCAGGTCATTCCATGCGTTTGGATGTGCACTAGGGTTTGAGAACAGTTGTGAAATAGTGAAAGCATGAGCGTCTAGTTTAGATCGTCTCATTGGTTGGATGCGGGTAGAATCAGCACGCCTCTGTGCTTGTGCGTACGGCATGCCGATGATCTGTGTGCTCCTCCCGAAGTTGCATGAATTAGGAACGAGGATCTGTAGTTCCTCTTCTTGATTTCGCCTTCGTTGCAGGTGCCAATCGAAATCAGTGGGCACTTGCTGTCGCCTCAACTTTTAAGGGTGCAGGTGGGACTTTCTTTAATTACACTCGTGTTGAGCAGTATTTCATATTTATTACAAATTGGTCAACTTGTGCTTTTTGAATTTAACCATCCTCCTATCATCAAGTCTCTGTAGATAATTCAGGTTCGAAGTTTCCACTACCTGAAAGTGTACTTTACCTTCCAACCCAACAAATGGTTGTGAAAACATTCGAATTTGAGATACTTATCGCCCTTCCTCCTCCATCTGTTTTTATCGAGTGGATCATCAGCACGTTATTGGTGCCGACCGTTGCTAAGGCTGATTTGACTGGTTGTTTCGAGCCTTCTGGGGGTGTGTTTAGACATGCGAAAGTTTGATGCTTTATGCAGAGCTGATCCTGTTCGCTTTTCCACTTTTTTGTTGACGCAGGGAGCACGACTTCTCGAGTTGGTATCTTTGACACGTTTGTACTCTACCCAATTTTTTCATGCATTTCAGCATGGCCGGCAGCTTTAGCAAATGGTAACACCCCGCACAGCAACGAGTAAGTCACTCTACTGGCTCTGTTCATTGTTTTCATGGGAGTAAATAATCGCGCCGGGATTTTTAGAAAGCACGTCTTCTTTGGAAATGGGAAGCCAAAAGGAACCGACAATTCAATGACACCAGGTAACACGACCGAAGGAAATGCATCCGATGGTGCCCCTCCCTGCATTTAATTGCAATGCATGACGCACAATTGACAGTAACAGCGAGTAACACTCCTTTGTTGAAATTATTAAGTGAAGCGAAAATATTGTTGGATTCATTGCGTAAAATACTTTGCTCCACGTGCCAAGGTCTAGGAGTCTCGCTGCCTGACATGGAGTCGGAGAAGGCGACTGCACAGACAGTTCCTGCTCTGGCAACTACCCTTCCATCTACACCAAAGAAGAAGCCCTTTTTCAAAAAGGTAACGTCGCTCTTAAGAACGTGGTTACCTTCGGAACTAAATCCAAAAGCCTGACATAGTCACGAGACTGCAAAGCCATTGTTTTTCAGTAAGCTCATCTTCAGCTATCTTGGAACTTTGTATCAAGCCATGAACTCTATGAATTATTGGAGTACTACAAACAATGCCTCATCCAGATGCATTTTCATGTGCCAATTTCTGCCAACACATCGGGTCCTATTCCAAACGATGCCTTTAGTATTAACTCGCACTTGCATGCCACTGGAAAGCACTTTTTGAAATAGCTGATTCGCAAGGCTTTCTACTCAAAGCCTTTAGTTAAACCTTCATTGTCATTCAAAATGTACACGAATGAACTATTCATGGATGGAAATGAAGAAGGAATTAGCTTCAACTACAATGCAGCTACCTTTCCGACCGCACCCAACGAGAATCGGTCAAAGGTGTTACTGCAACTTTACGCCAAATGCTGACATTAAAGGGACACACAATAAGATTTGTTTTACCATTAGTGTCATCTCACAGTTTATGCTTTTTTTCTCATCGACGTATACGTAATGCTTTGCGAGTGAGCTCGAAGGTCAGGCCGTATGCTATCAGCTAATAACGTGTGTTTCAGGGCTTTACCGGCCCCCCTTATGAATTGGTACCAAATGTACGCCCGGTGGTAGTGGTGGGACCTGCCCTCAAGGGCTACGAGGTCACTGACATGATGCAGAAGGCGCTCTTCGACTCCCTTAAGCGGTACTTTGAGGGGCGGTAAGCGTTCCTACGTCTCGTTCCAGCCGTTCAGCCTTTCCATGTCTCTGTCTCAAATGTATAACCTGGTGATCTTTTTTCGTACAGCCTTGTTGTGACGCGAGTGGCGAGTGAAATTACTGCATGGAAACGATTGAATGTCTTGGTGAATATTGACAAAAAAGCCCTCACAGATCGTACTCGCGGTCGACAAATAATCACAGCCCGTAAGCCAAGTCCAGTGTTATTCTAGTATTTAATTTGTTATTGAATGATGCTGATTTAGGCTTCGAATAAAGATGTGCACACCCTATCAAAGGCTACCAAAAGTCATGCATTAGGAAGCTTTGCTCTACTTGATTCGGAACCTGCTGTATTTTGGCACTAAGTGGACAATTCTTGGTACTTCTGCATATTAGTCGAGGTTCAGCGCGAGATTGAGCGAATCTTCGACCTTGCCACCTCAATGCAGTTGATTGTTTTGGACAGTGAAACAATCAACCATCCCCATCAGATTGCCAAATCCTCTCTCGCTCCCATAATGGTCTATATTAAGATCTCAAGTGTTCGCGTCCTCCAACGTCTTATCAAAAATCGAGGCAAAACCCAGAAGAAGCAGATCAGCTCTCAAGTCGCCGCTGCTGAGAAGTTACTTCAGTGCACAGAGGTATTAATTTGAAAGCCTTTTATTATACAAATATGGTTCTCCTACCGGCCAAACAAATATTACCATAAATAAATAAAACTTGAGTTTCTTGAATACTTTGGAGCATCTTTGTGATAATCCAAACCCATGCATTGTGAGTGAGGCTGTTATGTGTCTCTATGCGGATGTATAATGGACAGAAAAGTACTGGATTCTTTGATTTTGTGACAGGAGAGCTTTGATGTCGTTTTGGAGCAAAACAGTTTGGAGAGCGCTACGGAGGCGTTGGCGAACTACCTCGAATCCTACTTGAAGGCAATTCATCACTACGGTGATCATGGAAAGGGCGATCGTCAGTTCTCTCCTCCTCCGCCCCTCTTGAGTCTAAAGCCTAACGAGGCGAAACCCCTGCCCCCAATGATCCCCGGTCGGCCTGGACTCAATATCGCTTTCGCTGTAGGTTCATTCAAACCTCGTTGTACGCAATGCTAGTTTTAGGTTAAGCATTACTATTATAACTTATTGCGTTTAAAACCATTAAATTAGAGCGGATTAGAGTGGGAGGGATTGAGATTTCTCAGTCCAATAATAGAAATGAAAGGCATATTCGAAAGAGATGGATGCATCTTCCGTGAATTCTTCAAATTTCAGTAGGCGTTCCAAAATTCAATAGTCCTGTCCATTGGTTCTTTTCGGCCATCATTTTATTTGCTTATCTTTGGAGTTCTAGAGGCACATATATTTGTAGTTACACGCTGGTCTGGATTAAAAACTTTCACTGGGATGAGTTGCTTTGTTCATGAACGCACTTTTTCACTCTACAACAACGTAATTCCTCCCTTTAACGACTAGTGTTGCAAAATGAATGAGGCGTTCATTGTATGCACGTACTGTCGAATGTCTCAGTAAACTACTCTTTGATACACATGGAAGCACAAACATTCATAAACTATTCTGTTACAGAGGAACGAAATCGGACATGAAGCTATAACTTGGCTGACTTGATAACTGATTAATAATGGGTACAACTTCCTCTAAATCACAAATTTCGCCCCCGGTTAATGCAGCTTTTCTTTACTTCTACCCATTTGACAATCAACCCTTCCGCATCCAGGCAGCAGGGTCAGCCGGATTCCAATTGCAAGAACTGACAGTCCTCGCTGGTGACCGTCATACCAGTCATTCAAGTACTCTGGGCGAGGGTGAAGGGGAAGGTGGTGGTGAGGGCGAAGAAGGGGATGAGGAGAGGGAGAAAAAGAAAGAAAAGGAAGATGAAGTCAAAAGAGGGGAAGACGAGGGCGACAAAGCAGGTCACAAGACGGACTCTGAGAAAACTGTGAAGGACGGTGGAGTACCTGCTATGGTGGATGTAAAGAAGAAGTCTCTCTCGGCGCTGAAGGTGGGTAAGGTTGAGAGTAAACGCGAGGGTGTCGGCATCTTAAAGCTAGGTGCCGTCAAGAAGCACAAGCAAACATTATCCCAAATTATACCTGATCGCGCACACGCCATTGCTCTCGCTGAGGCGGTGGTTAAGAACGCTAACGCTGCTGCTGCCGCTGCAGCTGCCACCCGTCTTGAGGTGCCGGGTGGCGCCACTATCGGTCTTCACCAGTCCCATCAGGCGGCTCACAGCGATCCAAGTGGCACTCCCAAAAGTAAGTTTCTTCTTCCCCTTTTACTATCTTCCTTTCGCCATCATTCACCCTTGTCACCTAGCAGTTAACTCTAACTAAAGCAGAACGTGTTTATTATCACTGATAGTGCGTGCCATTCGAAATATAAGCTAATATTAAGCTAAAATGACTTAAGTAGAGGTGTATTGACGAGGGCATCGGAAAGCATCTGTTGGAAGGCTGACCCTGCCATCTTTTCAGTGCATCGAGATTTAAGTAAGATCCGCTTTTGGGCACAGGATGAAGTTGAATCACAAAATCAAGCGATCTTGACGATAAGGCTTACGTGGTGCTATATGATTGTGTTGCTTTATTATCAATGACGCAAGACACATTATTGTAATTAAAAGTCGGTCACCAATTCGAGTTTAATTGGAGCAGATTTTTTTCGCGACAAACTTAATAATGTTCTTAGAAGAATTTTGCTTCTATCCGTGCTCAAATTCGTTTACTACCAGTAAACATATTCCGGCTTTACTTATCACAAGTATTGTCCTTTTTTAATGTGGGAAAACAGTCTATGCGAGTCGGTCCTCGAGGCAGGCAAAACAACGTCAGGAGGAGATGGAAAACGCGCGTCGGAGGTCAGAGGAGGCGACACGAGCAGCAGCGGAGGCGCGAGCGGCAAGTGGAGCACAGCGACAGGAGAAGAGACGTCAACGACGTCTACTTCTCGCGGAGCAGGCTGCTGTTGCAGCTGCACGCCATGGTGGCGGCGGAGCAGTAAAGTTCGGTGAGATTTCAGGTGGCGAAAAGGGACCGGTATTAGGTCGCGGGTCTAGAGCCCGCATGCCACCTGACGATGAGCTACAGAGTGCACCGGGAAGCAACTTGCGCAGGAACACGTCCAGCGCTGCAGAAGCGTCTGGTCCATTGGGTCCTCTACCACCCTACAACAAGGCTATACCCCTTATCATCTATCCGCCTTCTGAGAACTAAGCTCATTTACAATGCACTCCTTAGCACCAAAAAATGCCACCTTGTTCGGCTCCGATCACAATGCCTTATGGCTTCTTCTTCACTCATTTTTTTCCCTTTGTAGATGAAGTTTTACCATTTATCTGTGCCTTATCTATTTTTGACCATCCATTTCGTGATTTCGACCCCTTCTTTTGCACATCGAAAAATCATTTAAGGGGCAGTGTAAACATCTGCAATATTTGTACCTCAAGTAATATTTTAGCAAATACCAATGTAGATCATATTGACCTTTAAGTTTTTTGCGCTTGGATTTGCTGGACTTCTCGCCTGTTCAGTACACCAATTGCATTCAGTAGTTGAGCGCTTTTTGTTTTGAATTTTTCGCGACGACTATGTCCCTTCAATTCCCTCTTTTAGCGATACTTTATGAAGGCGGTGTACTTTTTGTGCTGACATTAATGATATAATAATCTACCACTTTAGATACGAAATGAAAGGTAGGTGCTGCAATCATTAGTGGGAAGCGGTTGTTGACTCGTAGCCTCTTGTCAACTGCGCTGTTTTACAAAACTGTTGAGTCACTGTTCAGCTCCAGAGACCTGGTGACACTTTCACTGCGCATTCAATGTGGTTAAAACATCTCTCCTTCACTTTCAATCAGTGCTGCCATGCCCCAGGGATTGCAGTCTATATAAGTCAGAATGATCATGAAGGCCTCTGTCACTTCCTATTGTCGCTTCAGAAAACTCTGCCAAAAAATTGCTGATCTCAAAAGTAAAAGGCAATCCAGAATAAGTGGAACTAATCACTATCAAGTGACTATGACCGTATTTTGGTTTAAGGTTCGCAATTCAGAGTTGTCAATTTCAATGCATTCTACCATTTCGGTTCTGCATTCGAAGAAGGAAGCATGCACTCTAGAAAGTAACAAAAGACTCCACCAGAGGAAAACTCCAACTGAACCCTGATTACTCACGATTTATGTCGTAGATGCTTTAACATTCTCATGGAATGGCTACAGTATGCAGCTCCCTTAAACAAAACCAAGACGCCAAAAACGATGAGGAAGTTAGGTGAATGATGCTGAAGGTGACTTCATATTCTTTGGTTCTTTTACCATAGTCTCGGTCTTCACAATTTTAATTGCTTTTTTGGAAAGCTTTTCTATAACCCCTCCTTGCATGGGTCCCCGTCTACGACTAAATCCAAAAGTGGCAATCAAATTACTATAGCATTAATCGGCATCATCGGCTTAGTCATGTTACGAAAAAACTCAAGTGCCTCGGGCACTTGAAGAGGCGTTAACTATTTAAGCAATTACATAATTATTGTTGAGCGCTTTATTTGTCATTTTTATGGAGACGCAAAAGGTTACTTGACATGATTACTTACATAACCCTTCATTCAAGCAATGAGGAACGTCGACCGATTACCTATCGCAGTTCTATTCTCGCCCAGATCAACATTACTTAAATCCTGCCCTGGGTCTAATCGCCCTTAACTCACTCTTTAGGTTCTGAATGAAACATTTGTAAGAAATCGTCGCTTGAGAGAATATATTGGGATGGCTTTGGCGACGGCAATTTTGGTGGCAGCTGCGATCGGACTCTCCTCTTTCATTAGAGGACATGGACTTCGAAGACCGGTTTATTACTGAAAAGTGTAACCTAGCCTTTCTCCTCTGAACTTTCTCCCCCGATCGAGTTTTCCCCGCCTCAAATGTTAACCATTGTTGCGAGGTTTTGACTAAAATCGCTCTTGGTCAAAAAAATCAATTTCTCGTTGACGACTCCTTTCATCAATTTTCAAAAACCAGATAAAGTTAGTGAGGGATTCTCCGAAAATCTTCAATTTCTGCCCGAAAATGTCTTCAATGACTGTTCTCCCCCAAAGTCATGTCATAGGTGACAGCTCAGTTTAAAAAAGTAATCCGCTCCGTCCTCCTGACGGAGCATCTCATATCGTTGAAGCCATGCAGACTCCGCTGACTTATCAACGTAGCGGCGGCCAAACTCCAGTAGATGCAATAGATTGCCGAGCTACAATGGGCAACAATACACTTCTCCACCTGCTATTTCCAAATCCGGTAAACACCATTTTTCCTTGCCGCACCTTTATACGAGTCCCAAACAAAGTTGAGTGTGGATCAGGTATGTTCCTTCCCTACGCTAAGGCATCCAGATCTTTGCCAAATCCACAAGCTTTTTCGTTGCTATGCAATGAGATTCAGGTGCCCTCTCCGATTACAAAATTATGCTCTTCGTTAGAGAGACAGGTGTTGATTGGGGAAGAATCCATTCTAGAAGTCACGATAGGAGAATAGTAGGACAGTGAATTTCATTTTCTGCCTTGAGCTCAGGGGGGATGTAATATTAGGCGCAGATTTCCTGCGGAAGACTCAATCGATTTTGATTTTTGCGAAAGGCATCAAAACTATAAGACAAGCGTCGCTGCCCCTCATCATGAAAAATGTGCAAAGAATGTTGCAGTTCTCTTTTCGTTGTAGTAACCATTACGGAAACCAATTTAGGTGATCGCTTCTCACAGCTAACACAAGTCACGAATAGTGAAAGGAAGGGGCTATACTCACCGCTTAACACATAATCATCACTAGCCGTGCTATCGACTGCGGTGAGGCTAAGCCGGTATGGCTACCGGCTACCGTCCCTGTACAGCAGGGTGAAATCATACTGCTAAATCTCATACCGACGAGTGAATGAGCGATCTACTTCCCTCATCGTCCTTTACCAGGTATGCGGGATCTTCGGAATTCACGAAACACTCACTACGCTAGGACATCCTCAGGATAACGGGCAGGTGGAAAGGACAAAAAATGCCCTTGTAAAGTGCTTGATGGTGTTTACCAATGGTGTACAACATTAAGACTTGGACCTATACTCAGGACGCGCCCTCCTTGCATACCGAGCTACTTCCCACACTACAACTGGAATCTCGCCTTGCAAGATGCTTTACGGATCGCGGAATGAGTGTTCCTTCCGACATTGTCCTTTCCAGTAAGGGAATCTTGGCGGATAACTCTCCTCAATATGCTTTGCGTTTGAAAGGTCTAAGGACGGTGTTAAACTGCAGCATGCATACGCCCGTTAAAAGAGATTTTGCGACAGAGAAAGTCAGTATTAACTTCCCCAGGGGAGGAGATCTAGTTCAACTTTACAGGCCCATTCACCCATTCATCCTACCATACGTGAAGCAAGGCACTCTACCTTTCCGTCAAAGTTCTATCTCCTACACACTATCTCATTCATAATGTGGAGATATCTACCCAACCAAAAGCAGTGCACCATTACAAGGCCAAAGTCTACGCTTTGACAGAGGAAGAGAAGCCGTCAGATGAAACGCTTAGAGCAGTACTGGAGACGGTGCTTGAATAAGTAAGACGGCTATTTATTGCATTACGATTGTTGTTTTGGTTGACCTCATGGACCAGGGCAGGGTCTAAATGCCAGGGTCGTAATGGAGGAACCGACTGACACCACTTGAGCCCGGTTCTGGGTCCAATCGCTTCCCACTCTCTTGAGACGCTAATAAGCAAACCACATCCTGAGGATACGTCAGCGATGGGCTTGGGCGATGACAAGAATGCAACTACATAAAGTCCATTTAGAAGGGGGGGGGAACCTATGTTTAAGTCGCTAGATTATTGTAGTAGAGTGCAAAGATTAATGGGACATGTTGATAGAATAGTGGCTCTAGACAAACCATCAGTTCAATATCGGGAAGTCGTAATTTGATCTTGAACCTAGAGACATGCGCCAACTTACCCTTCGTTAAGAGGTACTCCTAGCTTTTATCAAAACCGTAGATTCTCCACATTTGAGACAGAAGAAGTAACGCTGAGAGGTCCTTTTTTGCATTTCCTTATTTGTTTCAATAGGTAGTATGCAATTAACGGTGTAACATATACTAGATTGTTTAAGTGGACCTGTAAGGGGAAAGCGGGAACCGACTGGGAACGTTAACCAAGTGCGCGAGAACGTTGCGGAGTTTCTCTCAAGTTAATATCTGCTATTCGGCCCATCCTGTAACAAATGCTATATAAATCATCTGCGATCAACCCTCACTTGAAGTCCAAAGTTCAAAGACAGGAGGGTGAGCAGACAGTTCCTACAAGCATTATATGTGATATTCATTTCTTTTAAAATGCAACACTTCATGCTCTGTGCATAACACCAATGGATGAAAACACTGCAGCGTCTCGGGACCTCCCACCACGTAGAACAAGGTATTAAGTGGAGCTAAATACACGTATTCCAGTGAGAAAAAGGGACTAGACCCAAGCTTATTCCATAGATCAACTCACGCGTACAAGAATCAGACGAAGCCTAAAGCAACCGCTAGCCATCAGGCGGCCACATAAGCAAGGTATTACAACAATGTATTGCCAATTATTGCGCTTTCTTTGATAAAACTGGTGGCCTTTAAAGTATGGCGACGGTGGCTCTGGAGATACATATTTACCATCCTTCTCAAAAATAAGTTTATTCTTAGGGCCTCTGTTTGAGCTTGCAGATCAAGCAAGTACCCACGAATTTTTCTTGTTGTAATGCTTGCTGGGGTCTTTGCGTGAATTGGGATAGTTGCTATCGATGGTGGAAGGTGTAGCGATGGATTCTCCGTTGCATTTTGGTCCAGTGATTCGCAAACAGTCTTTCTGCCATCCTTGTTCTATTGTTCTGTTACTTTTGCCTAGTGGAAGATGTTGGTATGAAGAAGCAACTCTGGCTGCAATTTTCGTGGGTTCGTCTTTAGTTGTTGGGTTCAAGGTACGTGATGATAGTGTTGTCCGTGTTTCTGAGCGGTGATCTCGCATTGTTGTCTGATACTTTCCGATACTCGCCTTTGACACGTTATGCATTGCTTTTCAGACATTTGCCGTGAGTGCAGGATTGGTGCTACCGCAAAAAGCTACGTGATTTGGCATTGCGGCATCGGATTGTTGCTGGAAAGACATCAAATTGTTTGTCAGAACTACCCATCTTTTCCTGAGTCTCGCGCCACTGCAAAGTCTACGGGAAAAAACCAGACGCCATATTTCATGAGTTCTCCTGGTATCAACGTGGCGTGTTCACTAAACCATCTGTCTGCACCGGTTAGAGCTTTGAATTATACAAGTGTAGTTACTTTGCTCCATATACTGTCGGTGCTTTATTATTAGAATGGCGCTGAATGTGGATTGGGAGGCGTTTCGGCTTTTCTAACCACCAAACATTGCACAGTGTGGTGATTCAAGTGTCTCTTCTGTATGTCTGTGATCGTGTATTCATCCGCTTTCGCGGTTACGTGTTTTCTTTCAGCAGTCAAGGTTGAGGATTTGCTTTTGTCAATGTATTATCCTTGGTTACATTGAGGAGTGGTGCTGCGCAGCACTGTTCAGGGATTGATTGGGATCGCCTTTGCTGGTCTCCCGTTTCTGTAAAGGAAGGAGTGACTTAATGTGATGCAATGTGTAGCGTGTAGACTTGCTGTTTCTTCTCTTCTTGTCGCTGCTCTTTTTTCCTTGCTTTAGTTGTTGTTGAAGGAAGCATTAGTAACCTAATAGCCTCGAGTTTTTTGGTACAAAATACCTAAGGTGAATTAGAGGAAATGACGCGTCAGTTTATTGAATGGTTTGTTTGGTGATGCGAGTGGTTTGGGATGAGGGAGGTTTAATCAGAGCTTAAAAGATTGGGGGGTGGATTTGAATGGAGCGGGCTACCGTCGTATGGCAACGACTTGATTAATGGCTAGAGACGGAGGTACGATGAACGCCAATCTCGCCTCTAATGCGGATGTCAACAACTCGGGGCGGTGCTGCACTCTGCTTTGCGTAGCAGCAAGGCATAGTAATGGTAGCAGTAGTAGCAGAAAGCGAAAGCACAGAGTAGGCAACTGTAAGGAGAACTGCGCCAATTCATCACATCCCACAATGTGGACGAGGGATGATTTCGCAATGCAAAAATGATAGCATTTCTCTTCTAAAACGCCCACCATTTCGATAAGCGTAGGTGGTGGACGAAAGGGTTGGCTTCAAATCGTGTGAAGGTTGGGGAAATTGCGATGTGGAGCAAGGTTGCATGGATACAACGTACAGGTTAGCTCACATGAAATCCTTTGTTAATGGAAACTGATCGGAGTTTTGATGACTTGTCCATCACCCTGTGATATTTAAGCGATACGTCTCTACGCTTGTGCCCGTACTTCATCACACTTTCTCTTTTTTAAGGTGTTACAAACGCGAACATGGGAAACGCTGAATAAGTTCAGCTTTTTGACTGCAGCATTCTGTTGCGTTATGTTTAATGCATATTGCTTCTTGCTGAACAGCAGTGTGTTTCGACACTTTTTAGCAAGTAGGATCGCCATCCACGCTTCCTCCTTTCCATTTCTCATAGTACTTGTGGCGTTTGGATGGCGTCGCCTAAGAGTTAATGAGAAGGTTTGTTGTTTAGCACTAATGGATGTTGATTGCTGAAGTTGTGCTGTTTTAGAGGAGGCTTGCTTTCCATAAGCACATGGTAGTTACCTAGCAATCGGTGTTTATGTTCCTGCTTGGTGAGATGGACACCGAAGTGGAAACTGTGCTCATTCTTAACACTGTTTGTTTTCCAACCCCAACTGTTGATCACACGTTTTCTTGTTGACTTTTCGTCGAAGCCTCAGTTTAGGCATGACAGGCTGTAACGAGTAGTTAGTAATTTTGTGGGGACAATTTTTGTTAGAAGTTGTGACCAAAGAACTTCCAGAGATATTTTGTCTTTGTGATCACTACATTTTAATGTATTGTTGACGCAATGATAAGTGTGGTGATGCAATTTACAGGTATGAGGTTTGGTGTGGTGAAATAGGATACAGGATTGGGTTTTGTGAATGATGCTAACGACGGAGAGGAGGGGAGAGAGGAGGAGGAGGATGCGATACTCATTGCTGTTAGTTGCGTCGCTACCTCGTTCGATGCTCCACTGCCCTCTCTTTCCTTACATGAAATATTTTCTAGTGGTTCTTAACCATCTACAGTGGCTACTTTTAAAATAAATGTAGTGCTGCTGGATCCCGTCCTTTTGGTAATATCTTTCGCGATTGTGTTGACGGCGGGGGGAATGTGAAAGTGA